GGTTTCTTGCAGTAGTGTTTTGTAGTTTTCTTTGTATAGGTCTTTTATATCCCTGGTTAGATTTATTACTAAGTATTTTATTTTTTTAGGGGCTATTATAAATGGTATTGTTTTCCTGATTTCCTTTTCATCATTCTCTTTATAGGTGTATAGGAATCCAACTGATTTTTGTATATTTATCTTGTATCCTGCTACTCTGCTGAATCTATTAGTTCCAGTAGATTTCTCCTGGAGTCTTTAGGGTTTTCTATGTATAGTATCATATCATATCATCCACAAACAGGGACAGTTTAACTTCTTCATTACCAGTTTGGATGCCCTTTCTTTTTCTTGCCTTATTGCACTAGCTAGGACTTCCAGCACAATGTTAAATAGGAGTGGTGATAAAGTCTATCCTTGTCTTGTTCCTGTTCTCAAGGGGAATGTTTTCAGCCTCTCTCCATTCAGAATGATGTTGCCTGTTGGTTTTGCATAGATGCCTTTTATTATGTTGAGAAACTTCCCTTCTGTACCTATTTTATTGAGAGATTTTATCAGGAATGGGTGTTGGACTTCGTTGAATGCCTTTTCTGCATCGATTGAGATGATCATGTGATTCTTTTCTTTCCTTTTATTTATGTGATGGATTATGTTGACTGATTTCCTAATGTTGAACCATCCTTGCATACCTTGTATGAATCCTGCTTGGTCGTGGTGTATTATTTTTTTGATAGGATGCTGAATTCTATTAGCTAGAGTTTTTTTTTTTTTTATGGTACTTTAGGTGAAGGTTTACAGGACAAATAGTTTCTCATTAAACAGTCAGTACACACATTTCTTTATGACATTGATTAACAACCCCACGACATGTCAACCCTCTTTCTTCTAGACCTTTTTTTTTGGTGAAAATACACATTGCCAAAGATAACACCATTTCAAAAATTTCTACATGCACAGTTCAGTGACATTGATTACATTCTTCCAGTTGTGCTGCTATTCTCACTTTAGATGAAGGTTTACAGAACAAAATAGTTTCTCATTAAACAGTTAGTATACATGTTGCCCTATGACAATGGTTAACAACTCGACTACATGTCAACACTGTCTTTACTCAACCTTGGGTTCCCTATCACCAGCTTTCCTGTCCCCTTCTGCCTTCTAGTCCTTATCCCTGGACTGCTGTGCTTCATTAGTCCCATTTGGTTTTATGGGGCTGTCCAATCACAGGCTGAACGGTGAACCTCGGAGATAACTTCACCACTGAGCTAAAAGGGTGTCTGGGG